ATAAAGGTGATGATAACTTTGTAAAGTAGTATTTTTTTTATCAATAAAAAAATCATAATAAAACATGTATACCCGAATAATTATTTTCTTTATACCTCGAATAGAACTTAAAATTAATATTTTAATAATAAGGAACTTTGTTCCTATCCGGTGTCCCGCCACACCACACATCTTTTTTCGTTTCGTTCGTTGAAAGTACAATATTTTGTTCGCTGTGTCTGTTACAGTAGAACCTGTAAACTGATGACTATCGATTAAGCGCTCATTCGAATCATCCGAAATTTATTCGTTTTCCATCCGAACGCACAGAGAAACAGCGCTTATAGCTTTTCAACTGTGAATTTACGAAAAAAAGCGCACCTCTCGTACGTAGGAAAAAATACGTGTAAACGTTCCGTAATTGAGTTTACATACAGTGTGCTAGATGAGTTGGCTATTAAATCAGAGGGCTTCGTACGGGATACGAAAGTGATTTTAAACGTTGCTAAGTGATTATACCTTGTGTGATGGAGTTTATCATAAATACCTACTGATACTGGTGGCAGGACGCTTTATGAGTCCGCACGGGTAGGTACCACCGCCCCTCCTATTCCTGCCGTGAAGCAGTAACGCGTTTCGGTTTGAAAAGTGAGGCAGCCTTTGTAACTATATTTGAGACCTTAGAAATTATATCACAAGGTGGGAGGCGCATTTACGTTGTAGATGTCTATGGGCACCAGTAACCACTTAACACCAGGTGGGCTGTGAGCTCGTCCACCCATATAAGCAATAAAAAAAAGTGGTGTGCATAATTCATTATTCAATTCGTTTTCATCTGTGAAAATTAGTATCTGCTACTGATGACATTAGAATAATAACATATGTGGTCTTATCAAGTTAATCTGGTAGTTAAATCATTGACTTTCAGCTGAGCATTGCCTTAAATGAGAGGAGGAAGATATTTTTTTACTTTTAACACAAAGGTAAATTTAAAATGTAATATAACCATGTTATATGAACTCTCTTTATGCATGTTCAGGTGAGATTTCTACTTCTAATTTTTTAAGCGATCTTATAGCTGGCATTATGTGATTACCGGAGGCCAAAGGCATCAATCAGAACGTCAATGCTACTATCGTCCTTGAGCCATGAGGTCGAAACCTCAATTATCTCCAAATTTCATGACGCTTCATAGCAGAAATAGGCAGGATGGTGGTACCTCCTTGTGCGAGCTTACAATAACCCGGTGAATATCAGTTAGCGATCGTAGTGAGCTGGTATTATACTTAGATAACGACGCTGCCCATTCTCCAGTAAATCCTAGAATCACCTTTTATGACACCCGCGGAAAGAAATAGGGTGTTTCTGTTCTAGACTGACACCAAGCAGCCAATAAAATTAAAACTTCCTAACGTGCTACCGTCTTTTTTTTATTGTTTATATGGGTGGACGAGCTAACAGCCCACCTGGTGTGAAGTGGTTACAACGTAAATGCCACAAGAGGTCCTAAAACCAGTAAATTTCAATTTTGAACTTAGAACCGGAGTACAATGCAAAATAACGCAAGTTTTTTTCTTCATAATTTGTTTTCAAAACTTGACAGTGTTTTATTTAATTTTTTATTTCATTTGAGGCAAACGACCAAGTCCCACATATTATCGTTTTAATAAGCAAACCCATGAAGTGACCGTCACTGACTGACCGAAGTGAAGTCACTGCCCAATATGAGATAAATAATGAACATTATAATTGTATTTTATTAGTTGGCGTCTCGCCTATAACTTCTCTTCCTAACATATTAATATGTAGTTCATAGGAAGCGTGAAAGTAGCCCCGGTAATCAACAAATTAAAGAGCGGACAGTTAGCGTGGCATGGACATGTGATGCGTAGAGAGAATATGCATGTGTCTAGGAGATATATGAAAATAGTAGTGCTAGGTAGAGGGGGAAGAGGTCGAAAGAAGAAGTCATGGATGAAGTGTGTGAATGACGATATGAGAGAGAGAGGAGTGAATGTTGAGATGACGGCTGATAAAACAGAATGGAAGAGAAAAATTAGCCGTGCCGACCACACCTAGTGGGATAAGGTGGAAAAAAAGAAGAAAAGAAGATATCAATATGTAGTTCGCGACTATAACAGATCGGATAGAAGTGAAAATCTTTATCTCTTAATTGGGGCTTTTTTTTGTTAATGTCTTCTTTATTTCGTACTCTATGCGTTTCATTCTATCATTTTATCTATTCGTTTCAAAAATAAATACCAATCTAAAATGTATTTCGCCAACTCATCGCGTTTCGTGGCCGAAAGTTCAAAAGCACGCGAGCAGAAGTGTGCTTTTCAAACATTAAACGAATATTCCGTGTGTATCGTCATAATTCATGAGTAAATTATTCAAGGGGCCGAGCATTTCCATGCCGGTTTCATTGGATTATATTCCTTCAGATGGACGTGGAAGGTGCAAAATAGATTCTTAGTTGAATTTTTAAATATAATCTCTTTTATGGTGGCTGTAAGGCTGCCAATGTTTTGTCACAGATCAAATCGGGCTGAGCTGTCAAAGTAATTATGAAACGACCGCTTCTCAAGTGATTGGTATCAGCTTCGAGATTGGACACGTACTTAATAGATAATCAATTCCAATCAATAGTAGGGGCTTATTGTAAGACAACACAGGTACCTTCACCAATTAAAACAATTAAAAAAGATGCAATTTTATACTTCTGAAGTCGAGATATTTACTGAATAGTCTTCGTTTCTGGTTCGTATATCATGAGAACTTAACCATGACACCTTCACAACTACTTTTTTACTGCTGGCAGGTCGTCTTATGAGTCCGTACGGGTAGGTACCCTGCCTATTTCTGCCGTTAAGCAGTAATGCGTTTCGGTTTGAAGAAGGGCGGGGCAGCCGTTGTACTGTAAAAAATAAGAAGGTGGTTGGCGGCGTTTTTACATTGTAAATGTCTATGGGCTCCGGTAACCACTTATTCCCAGGTGGGCCGTGACCTTGTCCACCCATCTAAGCAATAAAATAATAAAAAACTACCACACTCAACTGATATTAAATTCCACTGCTTTAAAACGCGTCTCCTCTTTAGTGTAGAACACATCACTGGCACTTTGGGCTGTGAGCTCGACCACCCATCTAAGCAATAAAGAAAAAAAAAACTTCTCATTCTTTGGAACAGTTCGTTTCAATCATGGTTTATCAACCGTGAACGAATGCTCAACTAATTATGTTATTGAGATTATCAGGACCACATTGCATTCAGCATGTCTCTTAGAAGGTCAATGATGTCTAGTGTCAATAAAGGCTAAATACGTCACATATATAGTCCTGATTGGTAATGACAAGTATTAAACTCTTATCAGAGTAGTCAGTTAACATAATTTGAATAGACCAGTACATCTAAAAACACGAGGTTAAAGTCGTAATAGAATAAAAGCTCATAAAAGTTATCCTACTCTGAACAGGTGACTATTTCTGTAATAAGCTCTAATATTGACTCGTGCTACCTCAAAACTTCTAATTTTCAAGGCTTAAAATTTCTTGCGAAGTTATTAAATATTTTTGTTAATTCATCGTGAAAGTCGTTTGAGAAAACGAGTAGTTAAGTCTTTTGGATAACAATGTTCCTACCTTAGGTCATATACCACACCACGCGTGCCCCTAGGCGCGAAAACAACACTAGAGGTTTGGCATTAAAAATAAAATTTATAACTACAGCATTATTGTATGTTTACGAGTAAGTCGGGCGTCTAACAACCACATGACATGAATTTTAATTACAATAGAGGTCCCCCGGTAGTCGATATTCGACTATAATTAATTGAAATTATAAGTTTGTACACGATTATGATTCTATTGTCAAAGACTATTATACTTCTATGATCACAGACTTTGCCAAGACTACATTTTAGACAAAAATATTTCTGTTCTCTATCTGTTCTCGATTTGACCACAGACTATAAACATTAAGAAAAGTTTGACAATAAACAAATAGTATACATGCGTGTGTGTGTCAAATACATGGTAGTGTGTGTAATGTTTTTATTTATTGATTTAATGTATTTTTTATCCATAATTTAAAAAAAAATTAACATTCTGCACTCCTTCTCTATATTCTCTATAAGTGTGGAAAATTTCATACTCCTCCGTCCGCGCAATCTTCGTAAAAAGGGGTACAAAGTTTTTGCTTCACGTATTAATATATAGATAGATAGATACCTTAGACCTTACGCGAATGAAGTATGTCAGTGAAGCATTCTCTCACTCCTCTGTCTTATAAAATTCATGACTTCTTCAGATACAGACTGGGTGATGGAATATGCTCACTCATTAGGCAAACTTATTAATTTGGCTTGTTCGATTTTTACATTACACAGCTTATTCTTTTTCGTCTTTTTTTTGTTATTTAATAAGCACGTGTTGGCTACATTTTTCTTAACAATAAGTGTTACCAGCGAAGTCCTGATTTGCGTTCGAAGGCAGTAACGTTATCAATGAAATTTGGCATTCAGATCTAGATGTGTTTGTATGTGTCTCGTAAATATTTTTGCATCAGCCATTACTCTGAGAAAATCTTGGGACAGATCCGTTGCACAAAGAACTTTAAAGGTTTTTAACTATGGAAACTGATAAGAAGGCTTAAAACATTGAAATATATCGGAGACGAAAAATTAATACAAAATAAATTATAAATGAGGTCAATACCAAGATCTTGTACCAAGATCAAGATCAATACTAATACCAAGTTACTGGTGGTAGGAACTCTTGTGAGTCCGCACGGGTAGGTACCACCACCCTGCCTATTTTTGCCGTAAATTTCTGCCGTGCTGAGACCTTAGAACTCATATCTCAAGGTGGTTGGCGGCATTTACGTTGTAGATGTCTATGGGCTCGGTAACCACTTAACATCAGATGGGCCGTGAGCTCGTCCTACCTAAGCAAATAAAAAATATATATAAAAAAACATGTCTATTTATCTCCTTAAATGGAATGCTTCATTTTTGTTGGCAGCTGGAGACCAGGGCCTTCAATAGCAGTGGAGTAATCGTCACGAATGATTCATGCAACCCCGAGGAGTGTGTCATCACGGCGCGGCCTGAACGTGGAACCAGCAAGTTTACTTGTGAGGTCTCCAGTGAGGGGCCGCGGTTTGCCGTGGATAGACAATCGGCCAACATGACGGTGGCTGGTGAGTGTATAATATATTTAAAGATTGATGAGAAACTTTTAGTGACAAGGATGGGTAATTTGATTTTATGATGAAGTTGAATAAATGCACTCTTGGCTCTTTTTTTCCCTACCTTGTAGCGAAAGAAAAGAGCCAAGAGTACTCTAGCGTGTAGGTGAGCTCCCGGGGCTCAAACCGGAGTGTTGCAAACACTGGCCCTAGCAAGAGCAGTGCTTCGCAGAATCTACCATCGGATCGGAAACGCGACCCACTGAGAAGATCCGGCGAGAAACTCAGTGGGCTTCTTGACTCTGTTTGTGTTAAGTCGTTACTTTTCATACCCCAAAAATAATGCCAACCGTCTTGGAACGGTTGTATTATATTAAAACGATAATCTTTCTAATTTCCAAACCCGAATTTCATGCAGAAGCAAACAGAGCAGCTCGAATATGGTCACAATAGGTTCTTCCATCAATAAAAACGCCCACACCACTACCCTAGATTTTCTAATTTCACTAAACACGCCGCACTAACAGTAAAGTTCTCTCTTCACTTCAGTATTATCTTTCGCAGTTCTACCAGAATACGATCCACTGATCACGGGTCTCCCAACCATGGTCCAGGCAGGAGAACAGGCTGTGGTCAACTGCACTTCTGATTACTCGCTACCAGCGGCCATAATAGATTGGTTTGTGGATTCAGAACCTCAAGAAGTTAGTACTAATAATATTTTATGAATTAATTAAATTATCTCCTATCATTTGTTTATTTGTGCACTGGTCTAAGACATCGACTTAGATGGAGCTCCTAACGAGACTTCTAAAGGGGTCTTCTTTAAAATAGTTGAGACTTTTTGGCGGGAACGCGAGGAGTGAAGTTGTGTGATGTGTTTTATTTTGTCTATTTAGTGTTTATTCAGGTTTAAATGTGTTATAATGATGGCTTATTAACTGTTTAGTATTTGTGAAAGTGCACAAATGTGGGAAAATGAAACAAAACCGCTGGATGTAACTTCTCGGGATCCTCCAAAAGTCACTGAAAAAATCTCAGTAAATGACCACCATTTTACTGAGATTATATTTCATCCCATATCATCTCATCTCATTTCATTAAATTTCATCCCAGTTGATTGATGTCTCAAATTAATCATCTTCATTTCATTTCATTTAATTCCATATTATTATCTTTCATAAAAATAAGAATATAAATAAAACTAATACTTGACCTAAAAGTCTTAGTTACCAGGTCATAAAACCCCTTCAAAATATATTTGAAAATAGTTTGAATCTATAATATTTTAGCCACCTTCGTTAATTATTTATATTTTGGTTTTGGCTAATGTACTTAGTTGGACGAAATGGATATAACCTATTTTATTTCGTCTACGGAAGACCATGAATATTAAATTAGGAATTCACTCTAAGATAAAGTGAAATACAATAATACAATTTGAATGTTAGATAGTCCATCCTTTATTTCCACTTCATTGGAATACATGATTGCTTTGAGTCCGAAATCAGAAGGAGGGTGGTAGTGGAGGTCCTAGCTCTTGCAAACACAATCTCAACCACAAGACCTTAGGATATGAATTCGGGGGAAATAACTTGGATCAAAGAGGATACTGTAGACGTATTTTTTTTTTTTTTTTTTTTATTGCTTAGATTGATGGACGAGCTCACAGCCCACCTGGTGTTAAGTGGTTACTGGAGCCCATAGACATCTACAACGTAAATGCGCCACCCACCTCGAGATATAAGTTCTAAGGTCTCAGTATAGTTACAACGGCTACCCCACCCTTCGAACCGAAACGCATTTCTGCTTCACGGCGGAAATAGGCGGGGTGGTGGTACCTACCCGTGCGGACTCACAAGAGGTCCTACCACCAGTGAAGAGGTCCTACCACCAGTGAGAGGTCCTACCACCAGTATATTGAGAAAGACTTTACTTTTTGGTGGTAGGACCTCTTGTGAGTCTCCACGCGTAGGTGCCTCCACCCTGCCTATTACTGCCGTGAAGCAGTAATGCGTTTCGGTTAAAAGGGTGGGGCAGCCGTTGTAACTTTACTGAGACCTTACATCTCATTAGGTTACATTAGGTCAGTACTCATAGAACTTACATCTCAAGGTGGGTGGAGGCATTTACGTCGTAGATGTCTATGGGCTCCGGTAATCACTCAACACCAGGTGGGCTGTGAGTTCGTCCACCCATTAAGCAATAAAAAAAAACCGAAACTGAAAAGCACCTTCTGAACCTCGAATATCCTCATGAGTGGAATCATGCGATATTTTCGTCGTGTGCAACCTGCTCACTAGTATAGATCCCTTTTTGAACAAAATCATTTAAGGCAAGACAATCGTATTTCTGAAAATTTACTAAGAGGATTTAAATGATTCAACAATGTTGTTAAATACTCTCTGAACAACTGAACTGTTTACAAGCGAACGATACGCTAATGTTCGCTAACAGAATAATGAAACTGTACTTATTATACCGAATTTATTATTCTATTATGATATTTTAACCAATAATGATTGCTCTAACCTCGTAGTAAGCGCATTACCTCTAAAGGCTTAGTTCGAAATAGAATATACTGTATTTTATATTTTTGTATTTTAAATCATATTGTATTTGAAATAATTTAACGGTCACTTATTAAGTATATGTGAGAACCATCTTCAAAGCTAAAACGACGCGTCCTTCAATAACTATCTTGATACAAAGGGAAAACGATTTTTGTTTGCTAGGTTAAGCACAAATTCATATTTTATGAGCCCGCAAGCTAAAGTGAATCATTTGAGCCACGTCGGACTATGGGGTATTGACCCCGCGCTTCACCTGATTCCTAATTATTATACATTGCGCGCTATGGTCAACAAAGTGCGATCATGATTACTTTGTTGGTGTCGAATACAAATCAACAGCATTACCAATCTTATTTATTTTCAATCATTTACTGGTTAGTGGTTAATGTTACGCGCTGGGGTTCGGGATAAATAAAAATTCACAAAAGTACAACTTAAAACTGTATTCAACACTTGGAACACTTAAAATACTTCACAAACACTTTCGAATTCTCAATTAGTTTCTTTCGCTTCACTTCAGGTGATCCGTTCACTGTTTCCGCTATCTGACAACAGATGGCGTTGTACTTCTCGAGCGTTCTAGATGCTACTAGATCCTTCGATATTCGGTCGGCTATTCGGAGATAGATGGCGTCACTCTTACCGGCGTAACAATATGTTTGACCAACTTCGCTTTAAAATACCGTAGTAAAGTTTTCTCGAGTATGTTGATGTGAATAGATCATTCACTAAGAGATGTGTGATTTAATATCGGGCTTAATTGATCCATGTATAGCTCTGACTTTTGAATAACATCAAAAATACTTAAATCATTCTGAGGTCAGTATAAGAAAAGCCAAAGCCCAAAAGTCCATTCGACAGCTTCTAACAATAGTTATTCAAATGACCTCATACAATCTCAATTTAGTCGGACTAGTTTCACGAAAGGGCTCGAAGTCAGGCGACAAAAGAATTCACGTCGGTCCTTTGGTTGTTTCTTTTATTAGAAACCTCAAATGGGTGTGCGTATCGGGCTTCTAATGCTTCGTCATAACTAGGGCTGACTTACTTGATATCTCACATACCTGATTGTCCATAACTCGCGCTTGTTATAGTTACCAGCTGTTCTTGTACTGGTACGTATTACCTGAAGATTAGTGTACAGTTTCCGTAATAAATATTTCGTCTTCGGTAAGCAGTGAAACTTTTGTAAGCTCTAATGGAGCAATTTTTGTACTACAGAAGCTGAGACTTAGAACTTATGTCATATGACGGGTGGTGGCATTTACGTCGATGATGTTTATGGGTATGGAAACCATAACACCGGATAGGCCGTAAACTCGTCCAGCAATCTAAGAAAGAAAAAACGAAAGATTTTAGTTATATCGCTTTTATTAATCGAAAAATATACAAAATAACATAAGAATTACAAGCATTAAGGCATTCCATTCATAAAAATGCAATGTACATTTAATCAATGTAAATAAATCAAAATTTCAACACGCACATGCGTCTCGGGCCATGCGTGATAGACGCTATTACGATTCCACTATATGTAAACTGTGTAGCGAGCGATATTTGTGGTCACGATTCCTTTGAGCTGCACCGAACTAAAGTGCTGCTATACGCGTTCTTCTACGCCGGTAGATATTGCAAATTGACAATCTATTGGGCCACACTTGTCGCGGCAAAGCGATTTTCATCGAATCAGCAGTTTAACCGCAGCCTAACTTAGGAAATATGTTAGAGACTACAAAATCTATTAATATACCAACCAACCACTTTATACACTCACACGGACTTACACACATCGACACAACACAATCAGATTCAAACTTATTCTGCAAGTTATCATTCGACAAAATTTATCTACCTATTTAACTGCCTTACCTTTACCTTAGTTAGACTACCTGTGTTAATTAATCATGTTAACATTTTTGGAAACATAATGTGTTTCTTTGATTGGCTCATGTTTGTGAAAACATCCTCTGTACCCTGTGTCAGTTAATTGCTGTTGAAACATTGTTGATTAAATAAATAAATAAATAAATATACGCACATGCTCCGTTCACTTGGCGTTGTGACCTTGCCTTGTACAAACTTGATAGCACTACTTTAAGACAAGCATCAGTTTTGTCTCCCTGAAATATCTAGTGACCATAGGCAATGGCTTTCACTGATCAGATTAGCTGTCTGCTCGTATCTTTGACCATTGTGCAATACAAATTGAAATTGACCAGCAGTATAAGAAAATAAGGTCGGAAATCCATTATTGTAACATTTCCAATTAATTAACTCTATATTAGTCCGTCCATTAGTCCGATTCTCACGAAACTTGGTCAAGTAGTAGCTGGTACTCCATGGAGGGTTTTCAAATAATTGTTGGTACTCCATGGAGGGTTTCAGTCGTGCTACCATCTACGTTCACAATGGCACGTGAGTCAACTTCTCAATGAATTTCATGCAATTGGGGACAGGCACAGCGGAGTGCCACCCTGTTTTAGTAGTATAATTTTCGACCAAGTTCAGAAGAAGATTGAAATAAAAATAAAACCTTCAAAGTATGGATGACGAGATTTGTAACACCAAGAAAAGAATCGTTATAAAATTAATTTCACCAAAAAAATCGGTTTCGCAATGTGTTTCGTCTGCATAATTATTGTTTGTAGGTCGTATTGTCGTCCCGCATAGGTAGGTACCAGCTTCCTGTCTATTTTTGAAGCGAAACAATCATGCGCTTGAGTTAGGAGGTTGGAAAAACTGTTATACAGTTCAATGAGGCTTCGATTCTAAATCTCAAGATGAATGGCATTCACGTTGTGATTGTTCCTTACCATCAGGTTCATTCACGCGTCGCCCCCGCTTCACTCAAGGCTTAAGCCTCAGTTACATTGAAAACAATAGGTGCGTTGCTTCGCGCTAAAACGAGGTAGACCGGTTATACAGAACTTCGCATAGGACATTATCTAAAAAAAACTCCTCTGCGGTCTTTTTTCAGACTTCAAATTATGGTTATAATGTACATACGAGTTCAGAGTCCAAAAAAACATAGTTATAGCACACATATGTAGCCTGCATTGGGTCCAGACAGCATAAATTCTATAAAAATAACTTTTGTATCACGAGCAAAATTTGTTATGTATTCGGTTCAT